GCACTCACTTGCAGGGATTTATGGTGACACACTAGGGAAAAGCATAGGGGGTTACATGCCTGAGAAGACATAGAGTTATAAAAGGGCAGAGAGTCCTTTGCTTTTGGAGCCTTTTTTCCATCACTTAAGCTGTGGCATCCCCAGTGCCAAGAGGTATGTGATGTGATGATCACATATGAGGTCTTCGTCAACTGCATGGCCTAAAGGAGGAAGTTTAAAGAAACAATAGGCAATTATTGCTCAGCCTGGTTAGCAAAGATAACCGATCTATCCAGAAGTTCTTGAGACCTATTAGCAGCAATGGGAAAACAGTTCAGATGCCCTCTATAATCCTTGTTCCATATCACTGAGCATCCATGTTGACAAAACTGTGGCGCTAAAGATTCTTGTGAAAGCTTTGGTCAAATGTGCAGGGACCAGAAGCAAATAGGAGAAAAATCTGGAAGCAAACCTAGCAGGGGCAGAGGCATGAGTGGTAGCTTCAAACAGCCATCAGTTAAGACTCCTTTGGGAAGTGTATAACATGCGGTGACTGCTCTCAGGGCTTGTAGTCGTTATTTTATTTAAATCTGGTTTTAAAATGTAATGGCCTTAACTCACAATGCACTTATCTTTAATCCTACCTAACTGCTGCTTCAAGTGCTTAAATCCTAAATTTAGATTCTCATAACTCCTGTTCAGAAGAAAAAAGTTTAGGGCCGTAGGCACCAAGCCTGTCTTAAGTAATAAAAATCCCTAGACACCCTAGTGAGTCACTCAGTGCTTGCCTAGAAGTATTTCATGTGTGAAGGTGCTTAACAGCTAGACATACACTATGTCTACACTAGTAACTAAAACAGGCCAGGAGCCACAGTCTGGCCCTGGGGGCGTGTGGCACAGCATGACCCTCATTATACAGTTAAACTCTCTTCTGCTCCAGAGCTGGACAGCATCAGCCATCCTGTCTGCAAGGAGTACCCCCCATCCAGGCCTTATCTAGGAGGTCCCTGTTTGACCCAGGTCAAAACTGTGCCGAGGACCATGCTGCCAAACAAGGAGAATGGGCAGTGCTCGAGTCTCCTCTGCTTCGACTTTCTCTAATTTATTACAGTTATACTCATTAGCTTCGTTAGAACTTAGTTCTCCTCTGTCACCTATAAGGCCTGATCTAGTAGCCATGGCCAGAGCATATCTACGTAAACCAGCCCTGCAAAATATACAGCTAGTTAAAGGAGAAGAGTTGGAGGTGATCTGCTGTAAAGGGCTTACTTGTCTAGGGTGAGCTCCTCTGAGATGAGTGCTTGTCCAGAAAGTCTGTTAATTCTCTTGTTCCTCTTCTATCTAAAGAGATTTGTCTCTGTTTCCTCCCATCCAAGTATTTTAGGGTAGGACTCCCTCAATTTCTCCTTTTAAAGGTGTTCTGCTTTGCATGGAATAATCAGATATTCATAACGTGGAAGAAAGTAGGAAAGCCCAAGAAGGTGATTATGTGGTCTAATATAAAAAGCAATTAGCAGGGAGCAGAAAGACTGGATCCCAGCCTTGTTCCACTTATTGAAATTGAGTCAGTGCATGCACAACTAGTTTAATTGAACTGGTTAAAATTGCATCCCCAGTTGTATCAGCATGACACTGTGAATGGACACCATGCCTGGGAAGGAAAAATTATTGAACAAGTTATGTGGAATTTGGCATCAGATATGAAAGCTGAAAAAGTCTATCTGCGCAACATGTGTTTGTGCCAATTATTCCTGTTCGCTTTGCTTAGGTGAAACAAAACAGAATGTGATCCAAGGTATGTAAATGCTACTTAGTATGTGTATATTTATCCTAAATTTGAAAAATTAAAGCAGGTTCTGTATCTTAGAAATATTTTCTGTTGTCATGCCACATTTCTCTGTGAATTAATCTGTATTCCATAAGAATCAAGTTAAGAGAAAAGGTGTCAATTTTCTAGCAATACACAGGTATACAAATTCAATTCACTAACTCATGCTGTTTAAGGTAGTTCTTTCCTGTTCTTAACAGAAAAAAACATGATAAATCATCCTTTGACAAGATTTCTTGTGAAATAGACTTAGCAAATTAGCAAATCAGTAAGATAAATGTACTTATGGATGAGACTAAGTTAGGCCTGGTGCAAATAATGTTATACTTCTTGAGTTCTTTCAACTCCACATTTTTTTCTGTTATTTATATCAATGTGAACACTTGAATCTAGCAAGGCATGGAGAGTGAAAGAACAGAAGTGCCACTATTTGGGTCCAGTGATTTATTCTCAAAGCTGACTGCCTTTGTGCCAAGGCAATGAATAGATAGCATTCCGTCTAAACATGTAGTATCTTCATGGCATTAAAGTATCTTTTTCTGTGATCACGAGTAAATAACTCACTATGAGACATAAATTAACAAAATACTTTTCTGAGTTGCTGTCTCTTGGAGATATTGCTGCATATTGTTTCAAGCTTAAGCAATAGTTCAAATAAACTTACAGCAGTTTCTAATTAGTTTTTCAAAGATTACCTATACTATAAAAACCTCACAGCTTAGATCTGAGTCTATGGAAGGTCTTGGGCACCTGCTTTTAAGTACACATGTCTAAATGCAAACCTTCAGGATCCTCACTCGGTTCTTAATTCTTTTCATCAATAAATATTCTATGGCTATATAAAAATATTTGCTTTCAGCCTGCCAGGCCTATTAAAATAACAACAATAAAAGAAAAATATCTAACATTGTCAGACTCTTCAGAGTAAGATTCCTATTTCTATCTCATCTACTGGGTCTAATCCAGCAGATATTTTACTTGCGTGTTTTTTAGAATGAGTTCTGTACAAAAAACAGGACCGGTAGAGTTGGTAGCAGTCCGACTTTTAACCAGTAGTTCTACAGCCAGGGTATGAACCCAGGAATTCGGGCAGCTGCGTTCCATTCTTGTGGAGGAAATCAGTGCTCCAGATAACACCTTCCTCCTCTATACGCTGTGAAACATTTTCAAGAAAGAAACTACAAATCTTTCCTGTGTCCATCCCAGCAGAAATATCGTAGCTTTAGTGTGCCTGAATCAACTGACCTGTATCATTTCAGATAGGGGAGGCTTCGAGTTATTTTTCCCACATTGTAGCTGAGTGCTGTAATCATGATGTTGGATGAATGGGGAGGATAAAGAGGGGAAATAGCACTTGCAACACCAGTTAAAGTTGGTAATAGACAGTTTATTTAGGACTTTGATTTGTTTGACTAAATAAGGATCTACTTACACTACGTAAATTGGCAGTTTCACTATTGCCGCTGAGCAGGAACAGGAATAATAAAAACCCCTTAACTAAGATTTCCAAGAAAGGCATTGATACTATCCCTGTTTCACTTGCATAGAATTGCCTTCCCTGCTGTTAAAAAGACTCTGCTCAACAAATTTTCACTGAGTGAAGATATTTTCTGAGATGATTGCTTTTTGCGATATGCTTCTCAGAAATGAAGCCACACACTTCAGAGGAGCTTTAAAGAGCCAAATTCAGATCTGTAAGATTGTGTGTGAGTACAGATGTCTGACAGAGTATAATCCACTGCAGAGTTTGGCCCTTTATCCTGACCATTCCCAAGCAGAATCAGTATCTGTCATTCTGCCTTAAAAGTAGTTGTCTTGGTTTAACAGCACCTCATGGCCTGAATAACGCTTTTCACACTTGGTGGATGATTAAAAGCAATAGTTTGCATCTGCTTACTGAAGCAGTATGCAATTGGTATAGAGTAATACGGTATGCATCTCTTGCATCATCTCCTATGGAGATTTTAGGAAATGTCTGAATGTTTTCCTTTGCAGTGTCATTCCTCAGTCACCTAATGGCATTTTAACCTGAGATCTCCCCAAAATTCCCATTTATTTCATTTGAGAATTTTTACCTTGAAGGTATCTAATGTTGATGAGAGTAGACATATTAAAACAGATTTTTACTGACGTAGGAAGCAACTCAGTGCCTATCTGTCCCATGGATGATCTGTGAATTACCTTTATTAAAGAACTGCTGAAAAGGAATCTAAAGTACTTTGGCTGTTCTCTTGTAATTGTAATTCTGAGCATAAGATTACATAACAATTCTACCAAATAGACATTTCAAATTTATGTAATCATGAATTTTTAATTTCTCAGGTTTGTTTGGAAAGGGGATAGTAATGGCTTAGCTTATATTCACCTACCAAGCCAATACTGTAGAACAGATTTTTTTAGTGAATTTAGGATCTGGTAATATGTTAAGAATAGTAGTTGCATATTGCCGAATGAGGAAAGCAGGCTCCTTTTGAGCTTAATAGAAGCTAATCTCTAGCAGAATGAAAACATGCAAACATAGATTGTAAGCTATAAATTGTTAGCTAAGACTTCTGCTTTGACTGACTACATTGTATGTAGACAGCAGACTGTCCTGCACATGATTATTTTAATTTTTGGAGTACCAGATACAAGCTGAAAATACTCTCTCAGCTTTTTGGGTGTCTTCTAAGAACAACATGATCAGCAATATTTGCCAGATATGTGGAGCTAAACTTGCAGTTGTTATGAAGCGCTGAGGGTCCTGCCCTTACATGGAAAGGCTGTCCTTTTAAAGCATCCAAGTCTCTCTAATCATAAGGGATGATGCTAAAAATACCTTGATAATTCATCCCTGTGTTTTCAAAATTAAAAGATGTTATACTCATACTGATCAAAGAATTTTAGCAGTGTTAACGTCAAGAACATGAATGTTTGTCTTCATCAATTTGTAAAGGAATTCCTACATTCCCTGGAAACACGACTTGAAAGAGTGACTCCAGGCATAGCTTTAAACAACAAATTAGATCTTATAAATAGATTGATCCGATTTCAGTACTTACAGGGCCTCTGAATATCTGAGTGTTTCGTGATCTTAATGTACTTAAATGAGTCACTAAATTATTAAGACTACAATTTGAATAGTATTTGACAATTTATAAAGAGAGTTGAAAGAGCTGATGTAATTACTCCTTTATTCTGCTGTGCTTTGCAGGTCCCAAAATGGTAGAATTTCATGGTCAGCAATTTCAGATCAGCTCAAAGGATGGCAAGCCACTTTTTACAGTGGATGAAAATGAGGTTGTAATTGGCACAGATAAACTTCGAGTCACAGGTTTGTAATACAATTTTAAGAAATGCTCAACTAATAACCACAATAAAACACAGCTAAAATGATATTTTAAATAAACATTGTGTGGGAACACAAGTTCTGATTTTACCTCATTAGAAAACATAAATCTGAAAATAATCTGACCTTTTTCAATAAATAATCAATAAGAAATGTTAACAGCAAAATAATAATGTATGTATGTGTATATATGTGTATGTATTTTATTTTAAAGCCCATAGACTTAGTGATAGGAATTGTGCATTTTTTTTCTGAATTGTTTAACATTTCTAGTGTACACTGTTAATTGTGACTGAAAGAATCTTACATATTCTTGTCTGGGGAATCAGTTGTATTAAGTTTTATATGTGAAAACTTTTTAGAATCTCTTTGATATAAAAAGTGATAGCTTTATCTTTCAAAGTGAGAGCCACTGTATTTTTGTATGTCATAAAATGTTATTTATAGTGTATTATTTAAAATGTCATCTGTCAAAAGACAAGTTTGTCTTAAATTCTTTCTACAAATCACCAAAGTACCCATTTACAGGGTAAAGTAAGATGCCTCTGTCATAGTTATCACATGAAAAGCCGTTTACTTCCATACGACCTGAAAAAAATCTAACTTTTCAGATGTAAGGTTGCGATAAAATGGATATGTCAAGGTGTAGTTTTACTTAAACTAGAACAATTCATCAATTAATTTCAAAATAGTGAAATTATCTTGTAACCTGTTTTCAGTTTCTTTTTCAATATTTTTAACCTAATTATTGCTATCATATTTAACTTTTGCTAATTACTGGTGCTCTGAAACTTAAGGTCTTGATTTTCATGGATCAATTCATATTATTTCACTGGGCACAAATACAAGTGTGGTAGTAAGTATATAATTAGCACTTCAAAGCCAAATTTAAGTTAAAATAAATGTTAATAAATTATGTTTACCCCTGAGGGGCTTATCTTAAGTTTTTCACTTTTCAACCTAATTGAAATTACAACTTTGTTTAACCAGGAAAGCATATCAAATGATTATTGTTTGCCCAGGGGATGCTAAACTTTAATAGAAAAGTATGTTTAGCAAAGATATGAAAAACTGTGTAATTTTTAACTGATTTGGAAAAGGTCTCTCTCTCCTCAAAGTAAGTAAAAATCATTCATACATGAATTGAAATTGTTATGTTAAAACGTGTATTCTGGCTTCTCCAATATTTGTCTTTACATTTTGTAAGGATAATTATTTACTTTAGTAGTTCTGGTGCAAAGGCACATTGCCTATTTCCTTTTACGCTGTAGTAGAAGTCAAAAGCAAATCCATTGAAGTCAGTGAAGTTATTTCAGTGTAAAATTAATGTAAGTGAAAGGACAGTCATGCCTACTATGCTTCAAATGAATTTATTAGAATTGTGATTTAAATGATGCTACTAACATGAAGGATAACTTCGTAGTACTTTGGGTATTGAGTTAACTATTTTCTAATATTTTAGATAGAGAGTAAGATCAATTTGAAGTAAGTTTTGAAAAGTGCATACAGTAAGAGATGGGCTCAAGATAGTCCAGGCTTAAAATTCACCATGAATATTTTGCAGTATTTTATGTACAATGTAATGAACTATTTGATTTTACTTCTCATTATTTATGTGAACTAAAAAAAGCTGAGTAACAATTTTTAAGAAAATCTCATAATTATGCAACTAAAATATAGTATAACAGGGAGCAAATACCATTGTGATTTATAATATTTCAGAAAAATACAAAAGTCTAAGAATAAGCTAAACCAATACCTCAGGAACTGTCTTTTTCCAACAAGTTTAGTTTATTTGGCCTGATACTATTACGCTTCAGAAAATTTTGGCATATGTGGTAGAAATTTGTTGCAATAAAATTGTGACAGGCTCTCTCCGTGTTCTCCTAAGAGAACATTGCAAAACCCATGATCAGCCCCTATAATGTAAGAAATTGGGCTGGAATTCAGGGATCTACGTTCAGGACTCCACAGTGTAGACATCTACATATAAGTGAGGTGTCTAAGCTCTCACCATGGCCCTGGGATGTATCACAGTACCTAGAAGAGACTCCCTTTCTTTGGTAGTGGCAGCTGGAGGCCAGGCAGGATATGCAAGAGTATTTTAAATGGCAGTAGATGCATATGCTTAGGTAACTAAAATCTGTTCACAAATTAACACCTGCATTGTAGACGCTTCTTAAATTTAGGTGTGTGAATCTGAAGCTGAATCCACCCTTAATTAAAGATACCTGGAAAAGCACATATTCCAGTTAAATCCTCCCAAATCTAATCTCACTGCTGACCTGCACCTTTTGCAGATGTTTATTCTGCTGCAAAGGAAGTATTGAATATCAGCATTTTGATCTGGTAGCATTTTATAGATTTAGCTGGCGTTGTTGACAATGAAACCCTCATGGTAACAAGTGCATTGGCTTTGGCAAAAAGCCAATTGCTTATGACTAGCAGTATTGTCATGGCAGGAGGAGTGAAGTCCTAGCACTGGCTAGAAGTCCTTGTATCCAATCAGCTAGAGTCCATAGCCGCTCTGCAAACTTGCGAACTAGAGAGCTATCTAAAGAAGGGAGAAAATAGGCTCAAGTAAATGAAATTATATGCAATAGAAAAGTAATTAACATTTATCAGTTATAAAGTGATCATAAATACTGCACAAAAAATATTTTTAACAAGTACAAATGGTTTATATACATGACTGTAATAAATGCTAATTTTTGATGATGAGTATAATGGAACATAAGAAATTAATAGAATGCAGTTGCTTACTCTCCATTCATCTTGAAGAGAAGCTGGCAATGTAGAAATGATCAGTATCTTTACAGAGAAACATTATATCACCTTCCCTTGAGTTTACTACTTGCCCTTTTGCTTGCTTGCCTTTCAGAGTCTCTTGAAGTATTTGCTGAGTATTGCAGGTGATTTTCTGGTGCTCTGTTCTATGTAAAGGTCTTTAGTTTGAATAGATAACACTGAAGTGCAATGTGAAGATGTATGTTTAATTTAAATGCTTATGCTCAGAAGCCAGGTTAAGTATGAGACAGTTTTAGGATATGAATAAACATTATTTTGCTGGACTTTTAAGAGGCGGATAGGCTTTGACAACAGGGGGAAGGAATTAATGAAACTTGCTGACCTCAATTTCCTCATTAAAAAAATATATATCTTGCTTTTCGATATTTTAGAGTTAATTGCAGAATCACAGAATTACTTTAATGAAGTCAAAGATATCGATTTAGGGCCATTTTCCAACAAACATTACCCCAATGTGTTTTTTTTAGTACCATACTGTTCAAAATTGGCAGTGTTGGGTGTTTTTCATAAACTGACAAGTAGGTTATACCATCTCTTTTTTAATCTTATCAAGCTACATCTTAAATGCAAATAAACACGGTTCATTACTATATAGCCAAATGTGAACTTATGTAATAAGAAGGGCTGTAGGACAAATACAAAAGGCTATATAAAAACTGGTCCCAGAGTGAGCTTAAGCAAGTTTGTGAAACAGACGTTTTCCCTGCTCTGCTATGGGTGCTTCCTTACTTGTGTGTGCACATCCCATACTGAGACATCATGTGGCATCCCACGTGCACTGGAAGATGTCCTCCAGATGCCTGTTGGCCCACTCTTGAGCAGACTGCAGATCTAGTTTTGAGCATGGCTTTAAAAGTGACCTCAAGGCTAAGTAGGGCATTCTGAATCTTAATTACAAGAGAAAAGATAATAAAGTTTAGGTATGTTGTCAAAAAAAAAAAAAATTCAGCATCAGAAAATATTACTAGGTAACTTAGTTGGGTCTTAAATAATCGGGTAGGGAGATCATGCACGGAGAGATAAGTCTAAACCTTGCTGACCTGATAAAGTCACATTTTCAAAATAATTTGGATATTCCTTTTTTACAGACTTGCCCTTTCCATTCCTATCACCTCTTTCCCAGTGTCTGTGTCGTCTGAAACTTCATCACGAATTATTTTATTTCTTCCAAGTCCTTGATAGAGTGTTAAATCACATAGGGCCCCGCAAATAACACATCCCCTCACTCACAGTTCTCTGTTTACAATTATGTTTTAAGACGTATCAGCCAATTTAAATCTATTTAGTGCATTCCAGGATGATCTGTATTGCGCTAATCTCTTAATCAAAATGTCATATGGCATCAAACTAAATGCTTATGGAAGTCTGTTACACCCATATTATTACCTTTATCAATCAAGCTTGTTATGTCATTTAAAATTCAAAGATATGCATATATTTAATAATGGAATACCCACTGCTCTATTGCATACAAAACATGCAAGAAGTACAGAAAGTTGTGTTTAATTCATCTGTTAGAGGACCTTAGTATTTTGTGCTTGCCTTTCATGCTCTTCTTCAGTTTCTTGATGTTCAGCTGAGGGGTGGGATAGCGAGTATATGAAAGAGAGCACAATTGAATTTCTCATATATTTTCCCCTTAAGCTACTGATATAAATATCCATACTTAAAGCCTTTAATTTTACTATTAATCAGTTTTGAAACCACTAATAGATGATGGTGAGTTACAGCTGTTGTATAGGATTCTGAAGATGGCAGAGGAATTAGATGAAAATTAGGCAGAGTATAAGAGCACAGAATCGAGCTTTTCATAGTCTATCCATGTTGGTGAGATGGAGCTAAAACTCACCAATTGAATTTTAGAGAGTGATAACATTTTCTTCTGAAATTGTTATTTTTTTTTTGTAAGCAGATAACAAACTGTTTCCATGTGGTTAAACTGTTAGGTTTCACTTACCTTTTATCAATCTGATTATTCAAAATATTTGATTATATATAGAAAAAACATGGTTGCTAGATATGTTATGTCATGATACTCTGAAAATCCATTAGTGTTACTTTTGCAAGATATTAATGGAATTGACAATTTCCTTCCCTAATCTTTCTAATACTTAGAATTATATGGTTTATTTCAAATGGGTTAAATCAAAAAGATATTTTTTACACGTGGACATAAG